TAAAAATTTTTTGATAGGCAGTATGACTTCATGATCAGCTTATGTCAGCCCCGATTCCCTAGAAATATTACAAGTACCCAGTAATTTTTCAGACACATGACTTCCATTTTGACGTCAGACATCATGTTCTCCTCCTGTCCCATGGGAACTCAGGCATGCCTTCCTCCAAGCTAAAAATGAATTGAACTCGACTTTCCCCTAACAAACTGGGTAGACCATAATTTGCTCTTTCCTAGGTACACATATGTCCAGATGTAGACTAAATCTGCTAGGCTATTTAGAACAGGCTAACTTTCTAACTTTTTTTTAATCTAACACAAACACCGTACATCTTTGCTGCACAATTAACTCAGGACCTTTGTTACTGGTTGCCACTAACTCCCTTGCCACTTCCATAAAAAATTTTCTCATCTGACTTTTGTGTAGCCCCAAACGCAGCTTGTCTGATCCAGCTGGGGATATGAGAAAACGTTCAGATTTTAACTTCTTCTGGATACCTAACTTCTTGATAACAAGGGCACACTCTTGTGTCTTGAGACAACTCTACCTGGGTCAGCACAGGAAGTTCTCTCATGAGTCTCTGGCTATTAGAACTCCCTGCTCACAGGAGACACAGCACCTCTGAGGATGTAACATCTAAGACATTCTTTTCAGTTATGATGGTGGACAACAATCAGGTCACATCCAGGTACTGACCAAGAGAGTTAAGGCTGCAGAATAACATAGCCATACAGGCTGCTGCTTGGTTTTGAATTAAGGTTTGGAATTGCACATGAATTTTTGAACATGCTTTTTGAATTAAAAACCTATTCAGACAGGTAGTGCATTTCTTCATCCTGTTCTAGACTGTATGCCTGAATTAACAGATGTCATTGCATCCTTAACTTGCAAGCCACATTGTTAAGACTTTCTGCAAAACCCACAGAAGCAACAGATAGCTTTATCGGAATGAAAATGTAGAACTTATTTTATGACAGTTGGAAGTCTGAGACTGGAGAAGTGCACTTCAAGACAGAAGAAATAGGGAGTGTTCAGAGGACAGCAACAAGAATCGATGCTCTAAAATACAAGAAAAAAACCCACCATTTCTTTCTAACAGAAAAAAAAAAGAACTAGGGTTAGTTAAGAGAATAAAGCAGTCAACATGTGACTAAGAACCTCAAATATGGAAAAGTCTGCTTCAACAAGGAAAATAAATTCTCTGCAACCACCAGGCAAAAAATAACAGGCTCAAGTAACTTTCAGCGAGTAAGTTTCAGGTCAGAAATTAGTAAAAACTTCCTAATTGACAAGGCTAGTGGACAATGCTGGAATAGATTACTTGGGAAAGTAATCATCAAAATCTTTAAGCTAGGCAAGCAAACATTAAAAAGACAAATTTTACTGATCCTGTCTTCATAGAAGGAGGGCTTAGGCATGATGCTTTCTTGGAGACTTTTTCAACTGGATGATTCTAGGCTGAACTGACTGAAGAAATAAGGCTACGTAATGATACCGACATCAAACACCAGCACAATTAGTTGTAGGATCCTGACTTGGAATGAAAGTCATATTCTGCAAAAGACTCAGTCAGTTTCTTCATGTTGACAAGTGCTCGGATTCTACTACAAACAACAAGTCACAGATCACCTATCTACATTAATCTACTCTGCGAGTCCTTTATTCAACAGTTTAACAATAATTACTTCCAGGACTGGACTACACATTAACATAATGTCTAATACCGGCATTAGTATTTAGCACTTTATTTGCTAGAAGCAATGACTTAGTAATTTGCTCCAAGGCCTTAAAGACCAACAACATTATTAAGAGCTGTAAAAGACAGCCAATTCCAGATTTAATCCTTGGTAGACTACTTTAAAAGGGATTAACTTTGGTTTAAAATTCTTGATGTACTCAACGTTCTTCATCCTATCTCTATACTTGATTATTGAGTTGAGGTCTTTAATTTTTTTTAACTGAATGACAGATGATCCTTATAGCAGATCATCTACTTTTAATGGTAGATCATGTTTAATAATTAGAACTGCGATCCTTCAAAGACTGCATGAGGATAGGTTTATTTCAGAATAGTCTCAGGGACAGTTCTTTACATTTTGGAGAGTCAACACAAAACAATCAAATAAGCTTCTCCAGTGAGATATTTCATTTCCAAAAAAAAAATTATGATTGTTCTAGTGTGAGAACTCAGGACAACTGTACAGCTGCCAACCTGACTGGTGACCAAATATGGAAAAACAACACTCTCTTTCCAATTTCTTCTCCATTGTCCTCATTTTTTTACTCCATAATAAGCAGCATGGAGAAGTAGGAAATTTGCATAACCGTGCACCTTCCCTACATTTAAATCACCCAGCTTAACACTAGGTAAATGATAACACGGAAAAAAGGAACCAGCTTGCATTATGAGACCCATTTTTTGATGGTGAGACTGTGCTGTTGGAAAAAGAACACGTTTTCTACAATGTGTATACCTTAAAAGTCTATGAGAACTGAAAAAAGTGCAACTGAAAAAGGTACAACAGCAAAACAGCAAGCATCAGGTGTTCCCAAAGTTTCTACACTTAACAAAGTAGCTCCCTGTATCAAAGGTAGTGTGACATAAGTTACCAATGTCTGTGATTTAGGTAGAATCTTTAAAATACATTTAATCTCGCCTATAAATGAGTGCTCCACGACAGCGTATATATTATTGCCCTTTTCACAACCTTTAAAAAAAGGCACAAAGCACAACTCCACCCCCCTCCTCCGGCTCACAAAAGCTGCCAAAAACACGGCTACAAAGTTAAATCAACCCCCAGTTTGCTCTCTTGGGCTGCCTATAGACACGGACCATCGCGGGTTAGCGGGGAAGACTTTCTTCCCCTCCCCCAGCACCTCTGCACAATGAGTGAGAATGGAGAGTAGTTTCAGGATTACATTTGAACTTCCCCGCTTTTGTTAGTGTGAGTCACCACCTTAACATTATCTCAGCCGTAGACTTTTATCTGTGAATATCTAAGCCCCGTCTTGTGGAAAACTAATTACTGAGCCACTGAGAGGCTTCATAATGTCCTGCATTTAAGTCCTGAACGTCATACATAATGCATAGGAAGCAGTCTCTGCACTCTGATTACAGAACACTGTCATTAAGTGAGCAAATTAAAGATGTGAATAATTCACTGGCTGAGCTTATTGTCAGTGCTGCATTGTGAAATTAGAATTTCTAATAAGTACTGCAATTTTTTTAACCCAATTAACACAGAGAACATCTTGAGTCTGATTAGTACAATAAAAATTATTACCTTATTCTTTTGCTTCACAACAGCCAAATTAAATACTGTACTCAATTATGCAGCATTCATCGCTTCTGTGATAGAATAAAGAAAAAAAATCTCACTATCGCTTTAATAAGAGTGCTAATATTTAGAATGCCTCCGAAAAAGAGAGCATATGAATCTCTAGTGCAATTCTTATTGCAAAGTTGCTTGATTTTTTTTTAAGACTTTGCAAATCAGTTTTAACATCAGTGACCGCCCATGATGTCACTGCTGAAGTCTTCTCTGGAAACAAAAACGTATTTGGGAAAAAAAATCACAAAATGACCCGTCCAAACAAGCTCTGAAAATACATGGTGAATTAACTTTTTCTGGGTTGATGCAAAGACAGAAGAAAAACATTTCCACTTAATGACTCTCAGGATACATACCGTTTGTGTGTGTGGGTGTATATAGATACACACATATAAACAACTACATATATACGTTATACACACACACACACACACAAACGGTATATATCCCGTTTCAAAAAAACGCTTAGGATATATACTACAGAAAAGAAGCAGCTGGAATAGCTCTCTTACCTCAGTTCCCTCTTGGCACGGGATAGATAACATCCTTTCATCCTAGGAAGGAGGAAAGTCCAATTCAATATCCAGCATGTTGCTTTTCCCCCCCACACAGAGGCTGCTGCCATATTAAATAAAGGAAATGATCACTGAGGATGCAGCTTTTGTCTCCAAATATTTTTTATACTGCCTTTTAGTGTCAAGGACCCCAGGAACCTTAGCACATCTGGCAGCACACACCGCTGGCTGCAGCTGCTGCAGTGGGATTTTCCTCAACCCAATTTCATTCCAGCTTCTTTTTCTTCCCCATCCCGGGGAAGTTTAATCACCGAGTACGGGTGGAAAAGAAAAAAAAAGAAAAAAAAAAGAAAAGAAAAGGTGGCATTGCCATCATGAGCTTTCCTAGGTTTTCTTCCTAGAGACAGGGACTGCAGCAACCACCTTGCATCTTTGTCTAGTTATTTTAGCAATGTGCATGCGAGAGAGAAAATATAAAGGAGCCCTGAAAATCATTCAGACACAATGCAATAGAGAGAAAGAGAGAGGGAGCGAGAGAGGGAGAGAGAGAGAGAGAGAGAAGGAGGGAGGGAGAGAGAGAGAGAGAGAGAGAGGAAACAGACTAAGAGAGGGAGAGGAGGCTGTCAGTGCAGATAAATCTGCATATGGAAATCAGGGTTATCCTGGGTACAGTTTTATTTAACCATGATGTACTGTTTTTTTAATTAGACAGGAATTTAGAGAAGGAAATGAGGGTTTCTTACACACACAAGAGCAAATGAAGCTTTTTTAATCGCAGTAGAGTTTTCCCAGCAAGCTGTAGCACCAAGAGCAGAACTTTTTATAGTAACTTTCCAGTTAGAAACAGAAGTTTCATGCACTGCTGCTAATTTACACTAAAAAAAACAAAACTGGAAGAGCATTTCGAAACTAAACTAAACAAAGGCAATCCCAAATAATGCAATAATTATTGGAAAGATCAAAAAGCCACCAGCTGCACAATATGTATTTTGTACATATTGTATTTTAAGCTAAGTTATGCCAAGTATAGGTTTTAGGACTTTCTCTCAGGCCCCTACTCCAACTGTCATAACCAACGAAGAGATTTCAGTAAATGAGAACAGCAGCACCTAGCCTGCATTTCAGATGTGCTAAACACTACTTCCCCTGCGTGATGGACACTGCTGAACACGGGAGCAGCATCCGAGAGAGACCCAAAGGACGGAGAACGGTTTATATGGCATCAGAAAAGATGAGATGGGCTCATGTCCATGGCTGCTAGCAAGCACGGGAAGAGGCAAGTTTAGGCGCCGGTGGAAAACCAGGTTCTGCTACAGGGGTTAGATAGGCTGGGCTAGAACAAACCCCACCAAGACATGGTGGCTAACAGAAATATAGGAAGATTAGGAAGCGGCAGTCTGACTTGGCAGATTTCCTAGCAGCTGGAAGACAGTGGACGTTGGGTGAAGGGTGGCCAGAAACAACTTGCGGCGGCTGGCTGGGCAAGGGATGCCCAGCCCTGGGCCAGCGCGGGGCTTGGGGCCACTGGAGGAAGTCGGGAGCGCTTGACCCAACAGCAGGAGAAGCAACGGGCTGGCAGGGGTGAGCACCTGCCAGGAAAGCCTGCCTGAATTATGAGAAAAGCGGGTGAGCAACCATCACGTTGTGACCTAACAGAGGGACGGGAGGCAGCACAGCTTCCAAGGCTCAGCGACCCCGGCCGCGGGGAGCGACGACGTGCGGGGCGAGCAGGAG